CACCACCACCACCACCACCACCACCACCACCACCACCACCACCACCACCACCACCACCACCACCACCACCACCACCACCACCACCACCACCACCACCACCACCACCACCACCACCACCACCACCACCACCACCACCACCACCACCACCACCACCACCACCACCACCACCACCACCACCACCACCACCACCACCACCACCACCACCACCACCACCACCACCACCACCACCACCACCACCACCACCACCACCACCACCACCACCACCACCACCACCACCACCACCACCACCACCACCACCACCACCACCACCACCACCACCACCACCACCACCACCACCACCACCACCACCACCACCACCACCACCACCACCACCACCACCACCACCACCACCACCACCACCACCACCACCACCACCACCACCACCACCACCACCACCACCACCACCACCACCACCACCACCACCACCACCACCACCACCACCACCACCACCACCACCACCACCACCACCACCACCACCACCACCACCACCACCACCACCACCACCACCACCACCACCACCACCACCACCACCACCACCACCACCACCACCACCACCACCACCACCACCACCACCACCACCACCACCACCACCACCACCACCACCACCACCACCACCACCACCACCACCACCACCACCACCACCACCACCACCACCACCACCACCACCACCACCACCACCACCACCACCACCACCACCACCACCACCACCACCACCACCACCACCACCACCACCACCACCACCACCACCACCACCACCACCACCACCACCACCACCACCACCACCACCACCACCACCACCACCACCACCACCACCACCACCACCACCACCACCACCACCACCACCACCACCACCACCACCACCACCACCACCACCACCACCACCACCACCACCACCACCACCACCACCACCACCACCACCACCACCACCACCACCACCACCACCACCACCACCACCACCACCACCACCACCACCACCACCACCACCACCACCACCACCACCACCACCACCACCACCACCACCACCACCACCACCACCACCACCACCACCACCACCACCACCACCACCACCACCACCACCACCACCACCACCACCACCACCACCACCACCACCACCACCACCACCACCACCACCACCACCACCACCACCACCACCACCACCACCACCACCACCACCACCACCACCACCACCACCACCACCACCACCACCACCACCACCACCACCACCACCACCACCACCACCACCACCACCACCACCACCACCACCACCACCACCACCACCACCACCACCACCACCACCACCACCACCACCACCACCACCACCACCACCACCACCACCACCACCACCACCACCACCACCACCACCACCACCACCACCACCACCACCACCACCACCACCACCACCACCACCACCACCACCACCACCACCACCACCACCACCACCACCACCACCACCACCACCACCACCACCACCACCACCACCACCACCACCACCACCACCACCACCACCACCACCACCACCACCACCACCACCACCACCACCACCACCACCACCACCACCACCACCACCACCACCACCACCACCACCACCACCACCACCACCACCACCACCACCACCACCACCACCACCACCACCACCACCACCACCACCACCACCACCACCACCACCACCACCACCACCACCACCACCACCACCACCACCACCACCACCACCACCACCACCACCACCACCACCACCACCACCACCACCACCACCACCACCACCACCACCACCACCACCACCACCACCACCACCACCACCACCACCACCACCACCACCACCACCACCACCACCACCACCACCACCACCACCACCACCACCACCACCACCACCACCACCACCACCACCACCACCACCACCACCACCACCACCACCACCACCACCACCACCACCACCACCACCACCACCACCACCACCACCACCACCACCACCACCACCACCACCACCACCACCACCACCACCACCACCACCACCACCACCACCACCACCACCACCACCACCACCACCACCACCACCACCACCACCACCACCACCACCACCAAGTTCAGTTTGGATCTCACTTATCCGAAAAACGCCCGGAGCCCGCATTAGCGACTAGGCCCAATTGATGCCCATATTCTGGACCTTCACTAACGTTTCCGCCCAGGGCCTTATTACGGGCTTTGACGGTAGCTCACGTGAACCTGTGGAATATTAAAAAAAATGTTGCCTAGTTGGGAGATTGCATACCCCATGGAATATTTGGTTATTGAAGTGACAACGCTTGTACAACAGTACAAGGTCGTATCCATACTCACAGACATGTTATCCATACTCACAGACATGATATCCATACTCACAGACATGTTATCCATACTCACAGACATGTTGAAAAGCCTGATTGAGAATTCCTCCTTGGAGAGACGTAAGAAGATGATCCTTGAGCTTTAGTTAAGGCAAAGCAAACAAACACCATACCATCATGAGCTATAGCGTTTTTGGGTAGTGGTGCACGAGTATACCTGTGTGAAACATGAAGTGCCGGGCCACAGTGGAGTCTGAACATCCTGACGAAGGTGTTTACAGCTAGCTAGCTGTCCAGAGATTGAGCACACACCATATACCGGCTTGAAGTACATGTACTTGGTCCGGCTCATCGCAATTGTCGCTTATCTTTCGCCACTAAGAACAGGAGTCTTTTTACCGCTCTGTGAAATTTCCAACAGGCATAGTGAGGAAGCATGATACATGAATACTCTCCGCCACAAGAAAAATATTTCAGCAATGGAATCAGGTGAAGCGAGTCGAAGAAAGGAAGCAAGGTAAGCAAAATGCACGAAATAAATCAGCGAAGGAGCGCGTTTTGCACTCACACTAGTAATACATATCCAGAGTTCACTCAACTCTGCATCAGTTTCTCTCGAGCCGCGCCCTTACCTGAGCTGACATTTGTTGGTGTCTAGCTGCTGGCGTAGACTGGTAGAGTATCTCTTGCGTTCTCAGCCTGTCGTATGGCAGCAATGGGAAAGGAACAGTTGTGGCTGTCACTTCGGTGCTTGAAGGAACTGTGGGCAGTGTGACCTGTGTGTCACTACAGTGTGTTTCAACAAAGCCTTCGAATGAGGCAAACGGCCCCTCCAGACAGGTGTCATACGCTCCGCTGGATACATTGGCCACGACTCTTGTAATGCGGCTGCTAGGTTCACCAAGAGAAGGATCAACCAACACGTCGGCCGGGCGCATCTCATCAAAAACACCTTTCTTCTTCAGCATGACGCTCATACTCCTCTGCCGTGCACGCGTGCCTGTCACGCTCTCCAGGCCAGGATGTCAGTTGCCCCTGCTACAGTTCCGGTCTTCGGGTCGCTGCGCTTGGCTTAGTTTTGGCAACACAGATAGTGAATGGCCAGATTCCCACTTCCCAAAAAAGTCGAATACATCGCGATTCAAAGCGCTAGTCGCGATCATTTTTTCTTTGGTGCCTCCTTTGATCTTGCCATCACGACCTCCCAAGCAAAAGTAAGTTAGATATCGTGATTGGACTGGGTTTTACCTGTCAAAAAAGTGCGTGGGGGATAAGCGACAATTGCGATGAGCCGGACCAAGTATGTACAAACATCTCCGTTGCGAAATCAGCTGTCTGTTAGTTCAGATGCAATGTCCCTACAACCTGCAGTGTATGGTTTTCACTAGTTAGCCATTGTTTACATATGAACCCAAAATACATGCACTTTGACCGTACACACTTTCATAGTGAACTGTGAGGATATCTGTCTTACTTCAAATTTCCTGACATCCCCCTCACCCTTCCCCATGCTGCCACAACCATGGATAGGAGTGTTATCTTTTTTTATGGGTAGAAAGAATATTATCATCATTATTGTACCAAAACCGTCAAGATTTTTCCATCATTTTCGTCCACTTATTTGAGATCATTGTTTAGGGCAGTTGTGATCATCTGCGGAAGCTTCTATACCAGTGAGGTTCATACTAGCGGTGTTAATACTACAGTGGAGTTAATACCAGCAGGGTTCTGGTGCCGGGTGTTCTTATTAGTGGTGATCATACTAGTGGTGTTCATACTAGTGGTGTTTATACTAGTGGTGTTTATACTAGTGGTGTTTATACTAGTGGTGTTTATACTAGTGGGGTTCATACTAGTCGTGTTTATACTAGTGGGGTTCATATTAGTGGGGTTCATACTAGTGGGGTTCATCCTAGTGGGGCTCATACCAGTGGTGTTCATACCAGTGGTGTTCATACCAGTGGTGTTCATACCAGTGGTGTCCATACCAGTGGGGTTCATACCAGTGGTGTTCATACCAGTGGGGTTCATACCAGTGGGGTTCATACCAGTGGGGTTCATACCAGTGGGGTTCATACCAGTGGGGTTCATACCAGTGGGGTTCATACCAGTGGGGTTCATACCAGCGGTGTTCATACCAGCGGTGTTCATACCAGTGGTGTTCATACTAGTGGGGTTCATACCAGTGGCCTGAGTGGGTGCACACAGTAAAAATCTGCCCTGGGCATATAGAATAGCAGGCTCAATTTCCGTCGCGTGTACATGGGCACGTACGGTATGCCGTGTACATGGGCACGTACGGTATGCCGTGTACATGGGCACGTACGGTATGCCGTGTACATGGGCACGTACGGTATGCCGTTTTCGAACCGGGCGTATGCTTGGAATGAGTGTACAAGTATTGAAATCCCAACCTTCCATTTCACTTCTCACTTGAGCATGCACACTATCAACACAGTGTTCCCACTTGAGGGAACCAGAAGCTCTGATCTGCTTTGAAACTGTGCACGCTCTGATCTGCTTTGAAACTGTAAGCACGGTCTGATCTGCTTTGAAACTGTGCACGCTCTGATCTGCTTTGAAACTGTGCACGGTTGCATCATTTGAAACTGTGCACGGTTGCATCATACATACACTGCAAGCACTGTCCTGTACTTTGAGCGGTGAACACACCTGGGTGCATATATGGCTATGGGTCCGATCTTGAAGAACAAGTGTTGACTTGCCCTGACTGGGTTGTGCAAGGAGGGTTGGTGTATTTTCGAATGGGTATATGCACTGGCTTTTACAGTACTCTTGTCGCGCTCGTGCAAGTAGAGGTAAAGCGTATACTAAACTTAGTAAACTATCATCTTCTACTTTCAACCAAATATGCATCTATGCATCTATGCATCTATGCATCTATGCATCTATGCATCTATGCATCTATGCATCTATGCATCTATGCATAGATGCATCGGATTGCAGTAGTTTGATGAGTGCTTCCGGATGTACCGCATCTTAGACCCTGTGTGTTAGCCACACAAGGGGTCTAAGCTGAACCCTACTATTCAGGCCCAAAATTAGTTATTTTTGTTGACATCAAGAGTATAAATGGTACATCAGGTGCTGAATGTTTTGGCAGCCTAACTTAATGGGTATTGGTGCGTACAAGACCTAACAAATGGCTGAAAAGTAAAAAAAAACACGACTGAAGTTCTAGCAAATGTTTCTTACTTTGTCTTACACTCTGAAGTGGCAACATACAGGTGCTTTGTGATGGTGCAATGATGGATTGCACTACGTGAAAAGTAGTCGAATGACACTATACATCAGTGCTGACAACCAGCTGGGTCTGTTTTGCGTACTGTGACTTCCGACTTTCCGTATTTTGCAGCGTTTTGCGTACTACCAATGTACTGCCGTGTGTATTGCTTGTGTTGTGTTTTTTTTGACACTCACATGCTTGTCGGTGGCTGGATTTGCTTGTCCAAAGCATGTGTGCCTAGTACCTAAACATGCTACAGTATATTGTGCTAGTGCATCATGTACTCGAAGCATGGCATGCTCTCGCTTTGGGACAAGGATATTCATCGTTCAGCTTGCGCTTGCCATGCTTCTACATACATATCTGTAGTTGATCGATCCTTTTTAATTTTCCATACCGTTTAGCTCAAATTGCGTATTGCGGACGAAGGACCGATTTTCCGTACAAATACAGAAAATACAGAAAATGCCGAACATTGGCAGCACTCTCAAACATACATGTACAGGTGGAAACCTGATAATTCCAACCTCAAAATGCCAGGAAAAAACTTCTAATTGTCCGGACATTCTAATTATCCAAACATGAACCCACAACACAATATGTATGTCAAAATGCTCTCATGAAAACGCAGAGTGGCGCTATGGACCTTAGACACAGATTTCACAGATACTGAAATGACCGGCACAGCCTGCTCATGCAAACTGAACTGACCAGTACAGTGTACAGTGAACTTCGAATTACACGGCTAACTTCGAATTATCAGCACAAATCCCACACATTTTCTATGTAAGTGGACAAATCCCACACATTTTCTATGTAAGTGGAATCCGTGGGACTTCTAATTAAAGGGGAAGTCCGGTGAAAATTTTAAATTTCAGAGTCGGTAGAGTTTCGGGCGCTGAGTCGAATGGTGTTGGTCCCACGTGTCTCCGACAAAGCGTTTTCGAGATATTTCCATTTGAAAAACTGAGTTCCGGGGGCTGTGTCATGACGTCATGCGGCCGCGCCACACCCTCCGCAACGTCATAGCGTGCAGCTAGGTCAAAAGGAGTGCGTGAAAGCAATAGTGTCAGTGCTATTTCAAATGATTTGGTGACTGATATTAGGTGGTGCAAGCGACCCCGAAGACCAAACTCCTTGTGAGAGTGAGGATGCAGCCATGGCTGTCCTTCATGAGTTCGGTCTGGGGCTGAGAACCTCGGTATTCAGCTGAAGAAATGGCCGCGCGGGCCAGTCAAGAGTGAGCGCTACTGAGTTTCCGACTGATGAAGAAGCAGCAGCTATTGCAGACTTGGCTGATACAATTATCAGATCACTGGAGAGCAGGGTCGCCAAAATGGAGAAGAGTGATGCGAGTGCTCTAAATGTTGTTCCATACCGATTCGCTTAGACTCCAGTAGCCTGCCACATGGTGATGTTTTGGTGCGAACTTGGCATATTTCGGACTACTCAATTGGGGAACAGTGCAGGCTCTTTGAACCACGGGCACGACTATTCGCTCGCAACGCTATGGAATCTGAAAGTTCTAGGTCCGGGAGCTGTTCGCTGTTTTGTCACTTGTCACGGTTGTGCACTCATCGCTGTAGCATAAAATAATGAGGCGGGCCGGGAGCGGAAAACTAATATAATTTTCTTTTTCAAAGCACAACCACCGGCACCGGCAAAGAGAAACGCACGTTCTCTGACTACATCATGAACTGATACGAGTGTTGTAGTACATGACAAGTCCGTGTGTTGACTAGTTTTCTGAGTCTTGTTGTAATGTTGTAGCTACCCCATGGCCCAGCACGGCAGTGCAGTGCGCGGGAGTAGTTCCGTGTGTGATGAGTTTGTTGACTACACTACAGCTAGCGCATTGCTAGAGACAGAGCTGTAGACTCAGTGTAGAGCCTA